ATTAATTAAATGTTAATGACTAATAAATGCATATGATTTCAATAAGAAAATTTTCTGAAACTTTGGCAAATGGGCATGTTTGTGTGTGTGTGTGTACCATTGCCGCATTCCAATCATTTACGCACATGAGAAGCTCGTGTCTGTTCTGTTCAAACTATTAAACTATTGAGAGTCTGTTAAATTGTTTACATCGTTTTCAGCTCAATTCCACGAACGTAATAAAACACACAAGAAGATTAATATCGCACATTTGAATTCGTTGGTTCATTTTTTGAATTTTGTTTCGTTTTTATTATTATTTTTCATTAATTTTTGCACATATCCACAGAGCAAACGATTCGAATGACGTTTGGATCGTGCTTGTCTTTCTCGAAACCAAAAATTCTTCAGATTTTTTTCTCGCTCCGTATTCTCCCGCACTCTCTCTTTCTCTCCTTCTCTCTCTCCACGCAAGAAGAGGCAATAAATGAAGAAGCAAAGATAGAGCTGCTAAGCATTCCAATATTGAACAGCATAACATTTACCAGAATTGAATACCAGTTCGAGCTGATAAACGAAACGATCGAAGAAAAACACGAAAATTTTCAACCAGAAAGAAGTATAAACGCTGAACGGAATAAAAAGAAGATTTATCCAAAATCGAAATTAATCATAAAAAAAAATCGTAAGCACCAACAATAACCGAACGAATACAAGAGAAAAAAAAATAGGCATGTACTCTGGATGAAAACACAAGAAACGCGCGAGACAAAACGATAAACTAAACTTGTTGTAATAATGAAGAACAGAAAAAAAAGAGACTGAATGAGAATTGAAGCGAAAGAGAGAAAAACGAAGACGTCTTTCTTTACGAAAGCAAGAAATATTGTCTTGACATTCATGAGCGGGCGCGTTGTGCACCTCTTTACGCCGTTCTGTTGGTGCAGTTGTTAGTTTTGTCGTTGTCCAAAATAAGTTCGTTGTTTTTTTTTCAAACATTTTATTTATGTCTTGTTTAAACGTAAAAATGAAGAGAGAAAAAAATAACAAACGACAACGAAATTGGGAGTAAGTAAGAGTCAAAAATGTTATTAATTATTAATAAAATTTTGGCCAAAAAATTAAAACGATACTGAACGTATCTTCGCTTTAATAAATTATTGATCCTTTTTTTTCGTGTGTCTGAATGACTCTCTCATTTGACCAGTCGGCTTGTCATCGGCGGGCTTGACTTTTCGTGGATTTTTTTTACACATAAATTCATTGCAACTCATTAGTATCGCACACACGAAGCATATTTCTTTCATTATTTTACTGAAGCGGCACTAAAATTAATAACAACAATCAAAAACCAGCACAAAATATTGATTCCTAATTAAAAATGATTAAATTTATAATTTGGTCAGCATTTTGAATCAAGTACTTTTGCTTAAAAGATGATTAATTTTCACTTGAAATTAAAATATTTCTTTCCAAATGAATGGTTACAAATTTTTCGCAAGCGGTTATCATTTGTATGGCAATTTTTCATGTGACAAAATCTTGCGAATGATAAATTATGAACCACCTGCACCATAAATGTCTGTTTTGTACCGAGTTCAATCACCATGACGCCGTCATCGTTTTGTGAGGTAGTGGACTGTCAAAAAAGGCGCACTTTCTTTTGTTTCTGTTGCAAACATTGCGGCCTCAACACTGCAATGATATTTCACAATACAGAAAAGGAATCGGCGGCTTTTGTATTGCTTTGTTTGTGTTTTTAATCGTCTGGTTTTTTTTTTGGTTTGTTAAAATTCACATTTCATGATTGGTCTCATCATTGATTGAATACAAAGTATCCGAAATGATTATTAGCACTTGAAAAATTTATTGAACCATTTCGGCTCAATTTTTTCCCAATCACAAAGTAATGGAAAATATTTCGGTTACTTTAAACTTCAAAATGAATTACACATTTGTCGGCTTGTCTTCCATTACTCAATGGTAGTCAATTACGTTGATATTGATTTTCTTATGTTTTATTCGATGAACATCAGAAAATGCTTAAGCAGCAGCCGAAACAAGATGCACACATTTTTGCCATCAGCAAATATAAATGTGTTGTTTTGCCATATTCAACCGCAGTTGTGGTAAGTTTTACCAACAATTTTGCTAATCCGATTCCAACATTATATAGTATCGAATATTTACGTGCAACGAATATTCGTTCTATTTTTTTCTTCTATTTATGTATGCCTTGTCCGTGCCCGGTCAATGAACAAAACATTACTATTATTTCGTAGCAACAACGGACGAAAAGTTTCATTTTCTTTCGGAAATATTTTTGGTATTTTAAATGAACCAACACAAATACAACGGGCCAATTCAAACACAAAACTCTGCAATTTTATGCAATGGAAGTGCTAACGAAAGAGCAAGTAAACTTGGTGGCGGCGTGTTCTTTATTCGATTTTTAGTTTGTTGGTTTTTGTTGTTTACGGCGACATCGTTGTCTCGGTTTGTAACTTTGTTCCTTTTCGTAACTTATATATTTGCAGGCAGAAAATCAAAATCACCCACAAAAAAATGTGCCAATTCGTGAATCCGAAATTGAGGTGTTGTTTGGTTACCTTTTGTATTTTCGGTGCGACCGAACGGAATTAAGCACAAAAAAGTGCTCCGAATGAAAGGAATCGAAATAAAAGCGTAGGCATTAAGGAGATGGAGTAGTTTTTTTTGACATGGGATTAGAATTTTTGCACAACACAACGGTTAATATAGCCTCTTGAATGAGGTGAGAGAATCTGTACACGTACAACAAAACAATATTGTGTTGTTTAATCTGTGCTATATGAAGATGGAATTGGCAACCGTTTTCTTCTTAGTTGCGTTGTTCCGAATATCAAGTAGCCGAGAGAGTTCATTATTTGTGCATTCGACGGCAGTGATTCAAGTAGTTTTGAACTCGTTTTCTAGATCATACATGAGAAGGGAAAAAGAATACGGATTCCAATTTCGAATATATTTGTTAGTTTTCGTTTCTGTTTGCGATTATGCCATTTTTCTTTCTAAATTCCAAACACTTGACGACCAAAACACAAAACCATTCAAGTGAAGAGTCTTTGAGAGATGAAAAAAAACGTTGTTACAATTTTGTGCGGATTTGTTCCTTTTTTACGGTTTTGCGCAGACTTAAGAACTGTGTGTTTTCAACTTTTTTGTTTATTTTCTGTTTGTTGTTTTGTAATCCATTCCATCTTAAATGAATACAATTGAACTGAATGTCAGACCGCATTGATTGCCTTCTAATAGAAACGGGTGTAACATATCGAGGATTTTCGTTGCCAGATAAGGATCGGTTTGGAACATTTTAACACAATTTCGCTTCAAAGACGAAATGTCTCGATTTTAATCAGCTACAAAATTATCGTTTCAAATGCAAAAATTGTCGACTTTTAAAACTATTTTATGGGATGATCATGAACGATAGCATCGTTGATTTTGAAAATGATAGGAGACTCACAAGCTAATGAAAGTTGAGCAACATTTGGGCACGTGATCGAACAATTCGTCTAGATTTTATCTGAAAACCACACACAAAGCGATTCATTTAACCACAAATTTACATACGACGACCCATTGAAATCGGAACAAATTTTCCTTTTTTCTGTTTTGCACTTCAATCAGATTATATATTTTTTGACTTTTATCCTTTGTTCGATTTGACTGTAATTGGAAATGATTTTCATTATTCAACTGCACCGAAACTATAGAGTGTTCTCTGTTGCTGCGCGTGAACAGCAGCATTCATTTGCTTTGAGAGCTCTTTTATTCTGAATATATGTGACGAATGCGATAAGAGAGAGATGCACGTGCGGCCACTTGCCTAATTGACTTTTTGTCTGCATGCACTCCAAATTAACCGTAAATAAACATTCAGATTGTTACGTGATTGGAGGATCATTAGAGTAATGAACATTATTGAAGGCGTTTCGAGATGTTGAGATTTTATTTAACAATCAATTGCCCCGTCACGGTCCCGATAAATACACCATATTACATATTAAATGAGACATAAGGCCTTGAGAATTGAACGAAAAATCAGCGTAGTAAAATGGAATTCAAAAGAAATTATTATTTAAACGCATTCGAATCGATTTCATTCGTAATATTCGAATCACATTTTTGTTTTCAGCAGAACATTTTCAATACATGCATCGCTGTCATAAATGACCTTTTTTTTTCTTCAAAATATTTCTCTTCTCTTTTTCTACGCTCGTTTCTTTGTGAGCACATTTTTGGATTCTACGAACAAGTCCATAAACCGAATGAACAACGACAATATATTCATAGTTTACAGTGTAAACTTTACACCTACAAAAAAAAAAACTTGGACCAGGTAAACGAAGGGAATTGATTTCTCGTATCACTTACATTCTTGGAAATTTTTTTAGGAATTTGTGTATTTATATCAAAACATCGATTTTTTCTACTTGATTTACAATGTAAACCAACTCGTAGAATTGAATAGTTGAAAATATAGCTAAATGCTGAACCAGGTTCAGTGTTTATTATGCAATTTTTGGTACGAATTTAATTTTTAATTTTTAATTTTTTTTTTTCATTCGATAAAAGTTCAAGTTGAAAACTAAAATTTTTTGCCACATACTTGTTTGTAAAATTTGAAACGATGATTTCTTTTAATATTTTTCTTCTTTAAGAATAAATGGCTTTTTTAAGAAACTTAGTATGAGAAATGTCTTATATAATTAAATTCTAACATATGAATCATTGCAGTGAAAGAATAACTCTTTTTTTTATTTCAAATAGTAGTAAATATTTTTTAAATAGATTTTTTGATGAGATAATATTTGAAACAAAATAAGCGATATTTTTTTACCAAAATGATTCACACTTTTTTGGTTCAGAAATGAACGATATTGCGCAGCAAAGGGTTAAAATAAACATTATATTGATTCAAATGAGTCAATTTTTATGAATTTGTGTAGTGCTTGTATGTAATATATTTGAAGAGTACTCACCAGTATGTGTACGTTTGTGAATTTTGAGATTTTCAGATCGGGCAAAGATTTTGCCACAACCTTCCCAAGTACATAGGAAGGGTTTTTCACCGGTGTGAACACGAATGTGATTGACCAACTTATATTTGGCTTTGAATGGTCTTCCATTTCGCGCACATCCAGCCCAGAAGCAAGCGTGTGTTGTGCATTCCGGACCGCCAACATGTTCCACCGTCAAATGAGTAACAATATCATGCATTGTGTGGAAAATTTTTCCACATTTGCGTCCTGCTCCCGATCCATTGTTATTGTTGTTGTTGGTGTTTCCCAAACTGTGAAAATGTGGATGATGTGGATGATGATGAGAAATTGTCGACGATTCAGGTTCGACCCATTCGCATTGCATTGGTTTTTTCTCGGCTTGTTGTGGTTGACGCAAGTATCGATAGAAGGCTCCGGTGCCAGTTCCAGCATTCATTGGAAAGTTTGCAACATTGTGTGCATGCATAACAGATGCAAAATTATGCTGATGTGAATGGTATGGACTGTATTCTGGTGGAGCGGAACCAGCCGATGGTGTAATCGATGACGTTGCTGATTGATGTGATACTGGAGTTGGTGGAATTTGTCCTGTGATCGACGAACCAACTGGGCCACTTCCAATGCCCATTCGCATTTGATGCTGATGATACGAACTGAATTGATTTTCGTGCATTGCATGATGCATTCCTGGGAACAATACTGGATCAGGAGTGGCTGCCGCACTTGCCGTTTGTCCGGTCATCGAAAAATAGTCTTGTTCACGTTTCAATAAATAATCGCGACCGTACGTTGGATATGGAGCTGTTGCAGCTGCACACGGACCATAACTAGATGATTGGTAATTTGTGTTGTTTGAAATACCGACGGCACTATGATCACTAGCACTTGCATTCATCATACTTGATGGTAGCATACCACTGCCAACATTATCGTGTAACGGTGGCGGTGACATTTTTAAGCCATAACTTGCCAATTGAGCATGATGTGGAGGAGCCGTCGGCTCCATAAAAGCATTCATCATCATTTTTATTTTGTTTGTTTTTTTAAACACTGATTTGAAATTGTTCTCTTTTTTGTTCAAATGTCTCTGTTCACCGATTGAAGTTCGTTTAATTCGACTGAATATTCTCTTTCACTAATTTATCCAATTTGAGAAATTAATATTAACACTTTTTCAGTTTTTTTTTTATTTTAATATTTGAGTCTTGTACAATTCACATACACATTTTATTCACCAAAATATAAAACAAACTGTTTCAGTCATAATAAGTAGTGCACAATATTTCAAGTCTTGATTACGATTTTTTTTGTTGTTTGTTGAAAATTAAGATTTTTAGTGAAATTTGGAAAACTTTTCACAGCACTGATGACACTATGTTCACGAAAAAGTGTTCTTGTCGTGCTGTCTTTCTGATCTTTCGGTTATTTTTCCTGCTGCGATGCGACTCGCTTCAACGACGAGAAAAACAAAACTGGTCATACAACAAACTGAAGACACACACTGCGACCCAAACGACTCAAAAACGGTATGCGTGCCTGCATCGAATCGTGTGTACAACACTGAAATCTTGCCAGGCAAGGATGATGTGAATAATGTGCAAAGCAACAACGCACACACATCAACAGTACAACATGAAAATAAATGTGAAGAACGCATGGGGCAAACATACAAAGAATACACATTCAAGCAGCGATCGAAACCAGCAGAAGTGCACAGCAAGAACGAATTCACATGAATGTGAACAGCGAAAGTATACAGTACGTATGCGATGAGGGGCGGTGCTTAAGTCCGTACCATTCGGCAGCATTGTTCGTTTTCTCTTTTTCGGTCTTCCATTTTCTGAATGCTATTGGTTCTGATATGATTCTTGTGCTCTTGCTTTTTTATTCAACATCGTATGCTATAAATACCGCGCACTGAATTGCGCAAGCTCATCCACCAAGCGGCAAATATGCGTTAGCTGAAAAGAGACCCGATTACCGAATACTGCACGAAAACTCGTTTGTCATAAGACACCAATGGGATAGACCGAGACCAATAAATTGCACACTTTTCGAGCAGTTTTTGGAGACTTTTTGAGAAAAATCCTTGAGAATAAATTCATTTTCCGACATCGTTTTTCAGTGGAATTAAATTTTCTTTTAAAAGGACAGCGAGAGATATTTGAATTTTGGCAAATTCACATCGGATAAAGAAGATACTTGGGAAAACGTGGAGATCTCAGCAAGCCTGTTGATTCGACACAACAATCAAGCTGTGTGTGGTTGTGAGCGCGTGTGCCAATGATGCGCTTTGCGATCGCTAATCATATTGTGGGCGAACACATGTCGTTTGGTTGGTTCCGGAATAAACCAACTGCAATCGACGAATATTCTTGTTTCGATCTATGGCTTGATCGTTGTTGTTACACAACACCACAATGACGGCGGTCAGTGCAGCGAGTGTGTTGTTTATAGCACGTTTAAGTGTAATAGCAGCACAATAAATGTTGGTTGCATGTTTCTTCCTTTCTCTCATTCAGCCAAGTGGCGGCTGTATCTGTTTGTGTTGTTCAAACAACACTTCGTGTAATTGTTGAGAGTGAGACGAAGCGTGCGCGTGATAATGAAAAGGGCGGTCTTACAACAGAGACAAACTTGCAATCGCAATTTTTCAGTAATTCATTCATTTTATTTGTTGACTTCCTAATTTAATTCATACAAATATGTATACCGAACATTTGTCTAATGCTAATTAATCCCTAAATATAGTTCATTGTTACGGATTTTTCGAGTGCTTGATTTCATTTTAAATTCATCAATTATGGAAATTCCCATGCAATTTTCATTCATTGGCATTTTATTTTTGCTCGGCTCCACAATAAACCTGAATGAAAATCTGACCACAATATGATGCGGTCTCGAAATTATAATGCCAATTTGGATAGTTGTGGATTAGCATTATCCAAAGGTTGGATTTTGAGTTCAAAGGCTTAACTATTTATTAAAGCAAAGAATAATTAGGGCAAATAAAATGAAATTTTATTTATTTATTGCCCGAAATTGAACGGCAAAGTAGAACGAATGTCTTGGCACTTCATTCAACCGAATTTTACCAAAATCTCTATTGTAAAGAACTGAATGAATTTCACATTTACAGCATATTCTGTTTAAAATACCACAAAAACAATAGAGAACAAAACCTGGAACTTTGACATGATTTACTTTTACCTTTGATTCTATTTGAAGTTATTTACCTGAAACAGAATTGTGTCCATTGAAATTTATGCAAATGCCAAAGGTAAAATTGAACGGAGAAACACAGAAGCAGCCAAAGAATTTTAATACATTTATGATATTTTATGGGCAGATCAAATGTTCTTATATTTTGTCTTTGAAAGGATTGAACGAATAGAATTAAATGGATTTTCTGAATTTCTTGACTATTTCAAATCAGTCGAACATCAAAGAAATAATCGGATCCATTCAAACGAACACAATTCGCGCTTCGTTGCAGAAAAGCCAGAAATTCTCATGAAGCCCGTAAAATAAATTAAAATTGTACACATTTTAATGTTTTTTCGTAAGAAAACACATAAAAAAAGCATCCTTCCGATTAGTTCATACAAATATTTGCGCAGTTTTTGTTCGATCATCAAAAAAGAAAAAAAAAACAACAACAACAGAACTCGTGTTGCTTGAGTTTGAAAATCAAGAGTAAAAAATCATAAAACACCAAACACTTTTGTGCATAACATAAACATATCCATTTCACAAAAAACTAATCACATATCATAAAGTCATTGTCATATCCTTGTCTCTTGCCTTATTCATTCTTTCCACAGAATCAGTGGAAATAGGATTGAACGAAGAATGTACGAATGTACAACAGAAGAATGAAAGAACAAAAACCAAAAAATCACAGCATTTGTAGCAAATGTTTCGTTTCAATAATTTGAAGGCTCTTTTCCATACTTCGCTTGAATCAGGTATAATTTAGTTTCGTTTAGTGTCAAGATTTCAAATGCACAATCGTGAACCGGACAAAAACATATGATTTTATGACTTATTTAGGATACAAACCTCGCATTATGATCGACATTTTACGACTTCATTGATTGAATTAACTTCGGAGAATTATTTTTTTTGCGATGGCATTTTACTTTTACTACGAGTTAAAATTACACATTTTTTACTATTTATTTTATAGTAAAAAAAGTATTCTTGTCAAGACCAACTTTCGACTAAATTGTCATTGACGTTGAAAATCTACAAAATAAATATTGCATTTGCATGAAAATGTTGCAAACAGCCGTTTGGAAATGGATCTTATTAACATGAACCATTGGTATCGTTAGAATTTTTTGTTTCATTTTGTGTGTTTGTACGGCAAAGCGATATGAACATCAAGGGTATGTAAATTAAGAGGGTTTTTTTCTTACTTTGAAAATAATTTATTGCATAATCAATTGAAATTGAATGCAGGCAGCACTGAATTTTTGCGACTATGTATTTCAACTTACTTTGAATCTTAAATGATACGACTTGTTTTCGAGCAGAACGTTTTAAAATGAACATTTAAAATCATTGAATGAAATTTATAGTGAATTTGTCATCAGTCCGCAAGTTGTTTCTATAATACTTTTTGACTTCGTTTGGTACTAATAAAAATGAAATCGATATAGTGTGTGTTTGATTAGTTGAATTTGATAAATGAACTAGATTCAAGCGATATACTAAAGTAAGGATTTAAATCAATTCAATGAAAGTGAAACGTGGGGTAGTTTGTTAGTTTATCCGATTCAATGAATTTGTTTTGACAGCGATTTGTTTGACTTAGCTCACTTCTCGGTACACATAGCTGTCGATTTATCAACTTAACCCGAATTCCCGATCTAGAAGGTTTTTCATGTGTTCTTAATTCAGTAAACAATATAAACGGTTTGCAATCATTTAGACATCATAATACTGTTACCGAAATGTGATTTCCCGAAGGATTTTCGCTGTAAACCCATCCTAAGAAAATTTTCCTCGCTGCATGCAGCATTGACCGATGAATGCGATTGGTTTTATGCATATTTATTTTTCTTTTTGCACAAGCGATGCAAAGGCGTAGGTAGGTAGAAAGCGATACAACCGATGAGGGGTTAGCACAAGATGAGCTGAAAAGAAGATTATAAAATTAAGAGAAAGGAGACAAACCAAGTATTTTGCAATGCTGAATGGTTGTATTCATTTGCAGTGATGTTTTGATATAACTCAGTTGGATGTCGTCTACGCTGATCAATTGTTCATTTTTTAAATGAAATGTCGAAGATGTCAAAATAATATCGATGTTTGTAATTTAACAATTGATGTGAATTATTATTATTCTTCTCCGGCGAATGTTTAGTGTTTAATTGAACGTCTCCTGTGGCAACAATTATGGGGGAGTTATTTATTATATAATTGGCTTCATATTGGCCTTTAAATTGTGGCCCAAATTGGCCAGTTTGGTGAATCGTTATTTCTCAGCATTGATCGACGACCGTGTTTTATGGAAATTCGTTGGGTTTTCTATTCTAACAGGATTAGCTAATTTATCTACAAAATATTTCTCCATCCTGTTACACCGAAACCAAAGATTGTTTGTGTTGACCAGGCGTACCATAGCCCGAGACACCATTGTTTCACATTTCGTTCGGTCAATTGACTTTACCAAAAAAAAAAATCGTCGTTTTAAATTTTCCAATTCTATTCTCTATCCCATTATCGGATGTGTTGGCTTTGTCACTCTTTTGCGGAAAGGATATCCAATGCAATTTAATCTGCTTGTTGGCTCTTATCTCCTGTACCTTTTGCTTACGATAAAAGCCGAACAAAAACAAACAAACATAGACACTGCTTTGTTCAATGGCTCGACTGTGGTGCCTATGCCCAACAACTGTGCAAAAGGAAACGAAGAAAATTGTGCAATTCCCAGAAGTCAATTCAGATTTGTACGTTCACTTATATAGTTTGCAGACTATATCATTGTCCAAAATATATACTGTACAATATACATGTATATGCTATGATTGTAATATGCATACACACATTTATTTGACTTTTTGTTATTGGTATTCTTCTTTTTTTGTCTCTATGTCTTGTCTATTGTCTTTGTGCATCTTCGTTTTGCGACACATATGCAGTCAAAGTGAGTGAGCAAGCAAGCGAATGCGTAGGAGTAAGAGAAGGAGAAGAGTAGAGAGAGAGAGAGAGAGGCATTGACCAAAAGCAAACGTTACTGCTGGTGGTAAATCAAATGGTTTAAAGTAAATTGACTTTTGCTTAATTTTTTTTAAGAAAGAAAAAGAGACGAAGCAACAAAAATGGATTTATTCGTTCTCGGATTTTTGCCATTCCAAGTTTGGCTGACACATTTTCGTTAGAATGGTAAAATTGTTTTCGGAAAAATCTCAGCACTTATTTTTTGTTGGCATTGCTTTTCTCTTCA